AAATACAGTAATACAGTATGTCTCGTGACCAACTCACCATGAACACACTTCAACGATGATCGCACTCACGGCTAACTGGTTCTCTCTGCCCGACTCTGGCTGGATCAGCAGGTTGCAGGATGTGTGGCGCGTTATACACGAGTGTTGCCAACAGGGACGGTGTAGAGTGCCCTCTGGTGGACAAACTATACAACACCAACACTCATGACATGGTTGAAGGGTGTTTCGTCCGTTTTTATTTTATTTTTGAAATATTCATTTATCGGCCATTATAAACGCCGATACCGATAGTTTGGAAAATGCCTAATATCGGCCGATAATATCACCCTGCCGATAAATCGGTCGGGCTCTACAAGCTACCCCGATAAGCCAGTAACCCCGCTTCGAAATACAGGCCCCAGCTATTGGGTAGGTTTGGCACAGAGCATTAGTAGCTATTGTAACTGAAGCACACGGATTCTTATTTTGGTTCTGGAACAGAAATTGTCAGGTTACGAGCTACAAATTCAAGGTTGTTTGCTAAACCTGCTTTTGGGAATACCCCTAGCACATTATCTGATTATGCTGGCTACTGATCTGAGGGGAGAGGACTGCATGTGCTCAAATGGCTACAGGTGTCATTACATATATGTCATATGAACCTGGTGAAGGCTTGAGATGTGACATACACAGCTCTGTGTAAGCAAGTATTAAACTACTTTATAATGACTTTCAACAAGCATTTACAGTAAAAATTACAAATACAAGATACAAATTTTTACACTAACGTTTTCTACAGCAAACTTCCCTACTATTGTCGTTCAGATTGCGGATTATTCCTGGATCATTTAAGGACTTTAAGCAACTTTTTTTAACCAATTTTTAAATATTTTAAATTACACTTATGGAGCAAGTCAAAGCAATTTAAATACAGGAAGAAACAAAAATGAAGAAACAAAATACAAATCTGCAAAATGAGCTGCAGCACTAGACCAGAACTGAGCCGTTTAAAAAATCTTGAATTCATCAAGATTAAACCACATGGGACTTGCTGAATAAACCACTAACCACTCATTACAATTATTCAAATAAGTTCTGTTTACACAGTCCATCATTTAACATATATAACTTCATTACAATAGAGTCCTTGACCATTAAATTGGTACATTCTGGCTGACTGATAGTATATGACCATACAAAACTTGGACAGGTAATACTCCTTATCATTCTACAAGAGCCCAGAGGCCCTCACTGTCTGCATGTTTCATGGGAAGCCTCCAGAGTGCGGAAGTCCCTCCAAGTTGGTGGTAGTCCATCCTGCAAGAATCTTCCACAGCGCTGACATGGTGTCTGGAAAAGCTTGATGTAGCTTCTTAGCCAGGTCTGCATTAGAACATAAGAGATTTACAAACGAGAGGAGGCTATTCGGCCCATCAAGCTCATTTGGGGAGAACTTAACTACACGCTGTGTAAAGAAGTGCTTCCTCAAATTTGTTTTAAAATGTTCTACCGAATTGTAAGAGGAATCAGACCAAAAACTATAGGAAATACATTAACCCTCATTTCTTAATTCATTTTTAATTCCCAATAAATTTTTAATTTTTATCGTAATGCAGCATTACAGTAGTCTCTTCAGTTCATATATGGTTTGTATTTTTACCGGAAGAAGAGAAGGACAGGACAATTAGATATAGGGCTGTGCAATATGACCAAAATCTCATACCCCGATATAAGTTATCTAAAATCCTGATAACGATATATATCGCAGCTGCACCTCATATTTATGTTTTTTTTTCTACAGATCAGCTGTTGAACGAAATAGATCCACAAATACAAGAAAAGGAGGTAGGTCACAAATTTAACGCGATCCACAAATAGATGGGCAGTGATCCACAAATGTGCAATAGATGTTTGTGGATAGAGATATATTTGTGATTTTTTTCTACAGATTAGCTGTAGTATATCAAGCCCCTAAGAAATCAGTGTGGGAAAATATTTTTTGAAACAATTTTGAGTTCTCTCGCAATAGTTTTGCATTCCCTCGTAATGCTTTTCCGTTACTAATAATTGTACTGTGTCTAGAAAACTGAATATAAAGGTATCTTTACCGCAGTGTCATAGCTGAGGTTTAAACCCAAACCCATTTTCGGATATACCAGCCTGTTATTCTCGCTTGATGGTGTATGTGGGGATATGTGGATCTATACTGAAATATTCCAGAAAGTGGGCTCGAGTTTAAACCTTAACTCCAACACCGTGGTAAAGTTAGCTTTACATGCATTTTTTTCAGCTGTATTATCTTTCCATTTTTGTAACATATGCCAGTGATTGTGTGCACACTTCACGTTCAGTGGCCCAACTGTCTCACTTAAAGTCACTGGTGGTGAATGAACACAGTACATATAAATACGTATAAATAAGCACATACAAGAACACATAATATTAAAGTTACATGGTGTACACTGCCCTCATAGTTTAATACTTAAAGCACACTTTACAGGACGACTGTATTATTGATATTTATCCATGCCGTCACATTGCAGCAAACACCAAGTAGGCAGGTATAGCGGGATCGCAAAACTGCAAGTGAATTCAAAACTATTTCATGAAATATTTTACCACCCAGACCTCTTAGGGGCTCTGTAGCGGTATGAACTGGACAAAAATCCAATAATCAATAGGAGGGAAGTCACAAATGTAATACAATCAACAAATAGGCAGGATGCGATCCACAAATGTGCGAAACACGGTTCATGTGTACATATCGCTCTGTATTTCTGGGGATATGATTTTACACAGAACAAATTTAAAAATACATATTTGTGGATAGTTAAATATTTCTGGATGATGGTACATATTTGTGGATTGTCTTCTGCAGGTTACAAATAAAGGCCAATTAAGACTACCATCCCACGTGGCGTGCAACACTGCAAACCGTCATCCAAATGATGAAGTATCGCCGTAAATGGTGCATTCTGCGACACCACAAAATAAACAATAGAGCACAAAATGAAACTACAGATGTTTTTATTTCGTCATACAAAATATATTGCCATATCGCACAGCCCTAGATATAACCCTAAATCAGCATTTGCGATATCAGGCACTGAGGAATACAAAAACTTGGGACATCTAAAGCTTTTAAAATACAGTATGTAGGAGACATGGGAGTTAGTGCCATCAGACTGATACATACCATGAAGGAACGTACCACCACATCAGGCATTTGGGGAAGCTGATAGTGTAGTAGGGCAGTAGTGGCATGATCTGTAACCTTTCAGAAATCGGACAGGGTGAAGAGAGAGTTTACTTTAATAACTGTCAATTTCTCAGTCCAACGACATTAAATCAATGTCTGACAAATAAAAATCTAGTGCCTTATAACATGCATTGACATAATGGATACGCAAGAACACATTTGCTGTATATAATGTATATAATGATACAATTTTCTTGTTACAAGAGCGCAACTGTGTTCTATATTATGTCCATTTGCACTGTTAAGACAAGATAATACCATGCTTTTTAAACTTTGACAAATGTATACAGGCAGTGCCCAGTTTATGAACGAGATCTGTTCCCTAAGTCAGTCTTTAAGTCAAATTTGTCAGTCAGTTGAGAAAAAAGTTATTATACAGTAATAATAAAAGTAACTTAATACACTACTGCATTGTACCTTCAGCCTACAAGCCACTGAAGCTGTGCAATGTTTTCACGACTGTCACAAAGTAGTGTGTGTGTCCATTATCACAAACAATTGCATTTATCCTGAACTTTAAATGTAATCAGCTTTATGGCAGTCCGTCCATAAGTACGAGTTATCCGGAAGTCAGGCACTCTTAACCCGGGGACTGTCTGTACTTCAAATGCATGGTAATTTATTGTCGGAACAGTGCAAAATTACCATGTGAACTGTTTTTTTTTTTTTTTGAGGATGCTGTTATTTTTCGAAAAATATGTGCTGTACAGTCTGGCCACAAGTTATGCAGTCATTGTGAATCTGAAAGATAAATGTGTTGTGCAATGAAACAACAGAACATGGTTTTCTTTTAAAACAAAACCGTTGTTTTGCACCAACTTTATGGAAACCAAAGATGATCAAATCAGCCTGTGGTCCACCTGGCATATGCTCAATGACTGCTGGTGGTCTTCAGACCACACTGAGAATCACTGATATAAATAGTTGCTTCTTACCTTCTGAAAGACTTGATAGCTCGACTTTGACCAGATGTCCAACTGACAAAAGAAAATGTAAAGATTACACATTTTCTCAGTTTTGATCCAACTCCGATACACGGCTGTCCATACCGATACATATTCTGATACAAGTGCTCTTTTTACTTATACATATAAAATATAAATATTTATACTATACATTAATATTTTAAACTAGGAAATACAAATGAAAAAATGTATTCCAAAAAAATATTTAATTAGGCTATTAGAAACATACATAACGTACTGTTACATCTTGTTTTACGCATTTCTGAGGCATTTGCAGTTAAATCTGAATATCTTCCAAGCAAGTACACGCAAGTGGCGAATGCTTAAAAATGCCCCACAGTTTTTCTCCCTTTGCCAACAGCGTCACTTACACTTTGTTGCGTTAGCAGCCCCTCGTGTATCACAAGCTTTAGCGATTGCGCAAAACAGCCCAAGCTAGCAACTCCCAAGTGACCCATTGCTTTTTTTTATATTTCTCGCGTTGTCTCGCACAATTTGCCTACCTTTGTTTAGAGGGATTTTCCACTAAACGCTACTTCCACCTCTCAAACCTTTGTTTTTACAAGGTCTGCAAATTGCTGTGCTACTAGTTGTTGTTAAAAGCATATCTGATGTTCTCCCGCTACTCGTACTGTGAAGGGTATGCGCATAACATCACAGAAGTCACTGCGCTTACAGCCACTGAGTAGCAAAAAAACTGAGTGGTAGCGTTAGCGTTCAGCTTGAATGCTGCAAAAAACATCAAAATGGGAAAGAGCTGTCGTGCGACTGACTGAACAAATGAGAAACAAGAAATATTAGCTATCTTTTTACAGACTGCCGAAAACTAAATAAGTATCAGACGTGGATCGGTCACATTTGGCCTATACCCGATCGCTCTAATAGGTACGGATCAGCGCCGATACCAATCCAGATATCAGATCGCTGAACCTCTGGGATTTTAAATTCCTGGAATTCCACTGTACATCTGCCATGTATCTGAAGGTATTTCATCCTGGTTAAAACACATGCTAAGTGGCATACTGAAAACCTCCTCTTCCATTTTTGATTCACTCATGAGATAACAGAAGGGGCAGCGCCGTGGCTTTGTGGGTAGCACTGTTCCTCACACCTCCAAAGTTGAAGGTTCATATCCGAGCTTAGATCTGCAGGACGTATGGAGTTTGCATGTTCTCCATGTGTTACACAAGTTCTACTCTGGGTACTCTGGCTTCCTCCCACAGTTCAGAGACATGTAGTTAGTCTCTAATAGCGCGTTTCCACTGGCATACAGAACTTGAGCCGTACTGGAAAGAGAGACTAGTTACAGCACAATTCCAGCTCGCTTTGGTTTTCCACTGCAGAAGGGTCGGCTCAGTAAAGGCGTTGCAGGGTTTGGAGAGCAACAGTAACCGAAGAAGTGCATGTGCACTGTCCACATAATGGAAATTCAGTGCAAATTTTAATTTTTTAATAGTGTTAATTTCTGCTAGCACATCTATAACAATCCCTGTTACGTTAGCATCAAACGCTAGCAGAATTAGCATTCAACTGTGTAAATTTGCATTATGAATGCATTCCTTTCAGCTGTTCCATAGTACTTTATGTAGAAGGGTGGAAGTTTTCATGTTCCGACTTATTGGGAATGCATTAATACATCGCAATGTACAAAATTATTACTAAAAATACATAGAATACGCTGGTTTTTTCCTTCAGACAATCCATGCTTATTAACGCAGATCACTAGTATCTCCATGCTTTTAACCAATCAGATGGTGGTGACGCAACCAGCTTGGCTTAATCACACTTTCGGCCCTGCTTGGTCAGCACGGGTACAGGCCGGGGATGGATTGGGTACGGCTCACATACTTTGCAATGGAAAACAGTCAGTTTGCAGAATGGGTCAGGTACAGCTGTTTTTGGATAAATCACATAAAAAGTACTGCACCAATAATGCTAGAGACAGCACTGAGATGAGTTAGAAGTTTTCCATTACTCTTACACCACCTTTACCATCTGATGGGTCCTTACCTTGCCATCCTCAGAGTACACATTCTCATTGAATGCCCTCACAATGGTCCGATCTATAAACAAACTTCGCATCACCAGAATGGCTTTCAGCACTTTACCTAGAGTCACCTTGATATGGCAGGAAGGTAGATGTCCATAGGAAAGTGAGGGAGAAAAAGAGAATTTAAGATGTAACTGTGCTGAAATTTAACATATACATAAGCATTATTTATATTTACTATTCAAATCCTCAAAATGAACATTAAGTTAAACCAATTAAATATGATTTTTGAGAGATCCCTATTGTCTTTGTCCAGTTAAAATACTTTCATTGGAGGTGTATGGTCAAGTTTGGTTAAGACAAGTAAAACTAATAACTAAAATGTATCTAAATTTAATCATTTAAAATAATTTGCACAGTATACATATACTTTAAACATACAATTAAGTATTAGCAATAATGAAGACACTCGTGATTTAGTTTCTCAGTCTTTGCTATTTAATATATAGTTAATGGTTATTAGAGTAGGTCAATTAAAAAAATTTCATCCATTTAAAAAACAGGTTTGTTTGGCACATTCACATCTCTAGTCGGTATATTATTTAAATTGTTATTTGCTAACACACAAACCTTAAAGAACTCAATTACAATACAGCATTGCTCATTGGGCTAAGTAACATCACACACATTTCCACAGTCATTGGCTGAAACGGCAAGGCACTCTACAATACAATATAATTTAAGGTCAAGTAAAAATTTTGAAGCTGGGTTGATAAAAGATGAACTCGTGTGGATTAATGCAGAAGAGTGGTGAAGTAAGCAAATGAGTATTTCCTGTAAAACCAAATTCTGACATACTACCAAGTTAAATTTCATGATAGTAATGTTGGTTTACTGAAAAGGGAAGCTACAGGAGAAAAAGCTGATCTTACCAGAAGCACTGCTGATGTCCCATTAGGTCTGGAGAGTTCAATAGTCATATCAGGAAACATTCTGCCAATCCTTGATATAACATCATCCACATACCTGCAAGTGTAAAAGCAGTAATTACACTACAGCATTCAGGGCTTGTTGCAGTCTGTCATCGTAATAACAATAGAACTCCACGCATTTATCAGATTACTGCTCATCTGGGGATGGGGGGTGTCTTAGAACCTATCCCAACTAGGGCTGCACCAGTTTGACACAGTCATGGTATGATCATGTGTAACATGATGTAGGGCTGGGCGATATCATATCGATATTATATCACGCATGTGCAATAATCACCGCCGGGTCAGATGACAGACAAAGCATTTGGCCGGACGCCAGCTTTTCGGTGCTATACGGACATTAATTTACGCTCATAATTTGGTAAGAGGATTAGTAGTATGGCTTAAATATTAATGAGATGCGTTTTGTGATACCCAAAAGTTAGTAATCCGATTCGATTAGCGGAGAACCTCACATAATACTTTTTTGGTATACTATGGTTTGGTATACTACGGTTTGGTATACCTCATTGCAATATGCACTGAAGTCGCGGTGAAGAAGAGCAGCCACGATATCTTTTAAAAGAGGAGATCTTGTGGATAAACAAAGTAAAGATACGTTGGCGGTGTGGTGGTACTTTTTGCAGTTCAAAGTCTGACACATTTATGAAACATAAGGATATGCCCGTATTTATACTAATAATGACTTTTGGATGCCATACAAAGCCTCATTAATATTTTAGCCATACTACTAAACTGCTTAAATTGTGGCCGTAAATAAATGTCTATATAGCACCGAAAAGCTTTTAGTATTTATGTTAAAGCAAGACTTTTATTTTATTACTGTTGTGGGATTAATCTTTGGAAACACTTAAATTTAATAAGCACAAAAACATATGACAAACATGACTGTATTGTGGGTTTTATGGCTTTTTTGGAGGTCACCGACTCCGCTGATGTGAGAATTACTGACTGTCTCTGTTGTTTTGATGGGTTAGCAGTATGCTAATGCTAATGCCTATTAACAAAAACCAAAGGTATGATACACTGAAGTATATTGCAGCTGGTGTTTAAAAGGAGCTTGCCGGTTCTATTGATGATAGGACCTTTCTGAAACAATCTTGGACCATGAAATAGGAAGGCAATTCACTTACAGCTCAATAGCGGAATCAGTATTTTTCCGCACCGCGAATGTAACATTTTCCTTGGGTTTCACGTGTTTGCTGTTTGTGGGCCTATACGCCTTCTTGGGCCACTTCTGACTGGTGAGCATGACTGGCACGCGAGAAGCACGGCGCTTGTGATTGGTGAGAATGACTGTCACACAGGGAGCACGGCATGAATTAAAAACTATAATAGTAAAACTATTCTCACAGCAGTTTTAACCCCTGAGTCCGACGTGCTGTATTATGTATATCCTAAATCGTGATTTTTGCGACTTGCTAATCGCGTTGTTTCAAATTGCGAATTCGATTTGAAATCGATAAATCGTCCAGTCCTAGCATGCGCGATATAATATCGATATGATATTGCCCAGCCCTAACATCATGGTGTATGGTTTTTTACAATTATTATTACTGTTGTCAGTCACAATGACCCTTAGAGGAATGAAAACAGAAGTGCTTCTGTGGTTGAACAGATGCTTCATTATAGTTATAACTTGAAACAATAATTGATACTTTTTATTGACCCTGTGGGGAAATTCTCTTTACGCCTCCCCCAACGTGCTCTCTGTAGGGTCGCCACTGGCAGCAGCACCAAGACCTGCAGATGTGGTGAGGCTAAGCTTGAACCAGTGACCTTCCGATCACAGGCATGGAGGGTTAGTCCACTGAGTCATACACTGCCCCCGCCCAAACAATGGATGGGTAAGTCTCCTTTTTTTAAATAACAAGGTTTATTAAGAAAGCTGCATATCTCCCATTTGAACAAAAATTAGAAGGAAGGAGAATGATATTTTTAAAAAATCTTTAGATAAAACATGGTGCTATTGAGATAAATATACATTAATCTAATAAGACATGTCGGTTAAACCATAATAAAACAGGTCAGTTGTACTGTCAACCTAAATGTAAATTACTTTTTATAATAATAAAAACACACCTTTTAAAAAATGATTAGTAAATGTTTTGTTGATGTGAATGTTTGCTGCCGTGGAAAGAATTAACATGACAAGTGCTAACTTGAAACTCATGACTATGCCGTCACCCGATTTGTACCACGTGTAGCTAGTGCTAGGTACCGAACTTCAGTACTTTTGTGCTACCGACCAAAATGCTCCAGTCCTATTGAGGATCAAAAACTTAATTTTCTTTCAGTGCCAAATTCCGATACACAAACAGTACATCTCACCATCTGTAAACTAATAAGCAGGCAGCATACTTGTGTAAAGATGTAAAGTTGCTGGTCATTGGCTGTCTAATGTAAAATTACATAAACATGTTATAGAGGCAGGAAAAGGCTGTGTCCAGTTATGATCGAGATCGATTCCCCCAGTAATTAACCAACTAAGAAAACAACTTGCTCAAAAGAAAACATTTGTGATGTAATGTTTAATGTATGCTGTTGTTGTTGTTGAAACTGATTGAAAAATATATTGATATCAAGAAAAGTATTGTGCAGGAACCGGTATCGAAATCAAGACGCTGGTATCGGAAAATTTTGAACGATGCCCAGCCCTATGTGTTGGTGTCTGATCCAAGTCTGGAAGCACAATATATTCTGCACATGTGCAAAAGTCAGCACATGCTCAGAATTCAGCCGCTTTTCAGGACACTGGCCGATCTGTTCCATACATGTGTGAATTTTTGCGTTGCTTTCAATTTACCACAGCAAGTCATAATTGGGTTCTCATCCACAAGACTGAGCTATGGCTTAAAAAGAATAAAATGACAAAACTATTTCAGTCAGTGTTCATGTCCATCACTGATAATTACCACTTTTGTCACCTTAACTATACAAGTTCAATTTCTGTTTAGCGAAATTACCTCAAGACTAGTACAGCATTAATCCAGTCCACGAGCGATGTAGTGAAACGGGTAAATTTTTCATGAAGTTTTAAAGTTATTAGTCTTGGTGGCATTATGGTAATAAGGCATACCACAGTATTCTGAAATCATTACGACAAAATTAGCCGGAACCCCACCCTCTCAGTGAATTTTATTTTATTGATTTAAAAATGCTGGAATGGTGCTACTTTTTAAAATATCATATACATCAGTATAATGTCTGGACAGTATGAAAAATTAGATTTGCGGGTACCTCCAACCCTCTTCATACAGCTGCTCACCCTTACCACTACAACTACTTCTACTCTTTCGTCGTTGAGCACTGATCTGTAAAAATCCACACTGCCACCTACTGGAAATACCTAATCATTGACATGGCACATGCATGGTCAATACGCAAGGTTTCCACTAGACATAAAAATCTGGGCAACACGCGCACCGACTGCAGTCGTCCACAGCCAACCCCTGATGACGAAATTTACATCATGTCCGCAACTGAAAGGGCACGTGGAAAAGTGGAGTGGAGCCTTAAGCTTTACTTACTGTGGAGGCAAGGCAAGGGCACTTGGTTGGACTTTAGGCCGCCTCTTGGCAGATGCTCCCATTTGATTAGCAGAACGCTTGAGGGATTGCTGGTTTAGCAGGCTAGATGCCAGGCCAGCATGGTACTGCAACTAAGGACAATGAAACACAATATTCATGAACATTTACATTCCTAAGCTGATGACACAGAAATCTATTTCAAACCAAATGAGAATCTCAAAAGAACTTTTTAGTTTTCACTTGGGGGTAACACTTTTGTCACCTTAACTGTACGAGCTCAATTTCTGTTTAGCAAAATTACCTCAAGACTAGTACAGCATTTTCTGAATAAGATTTATCTCTGATAGTCTTTACTTATGCAAGATATGTTTTACAATATTACAGATTGCACAAAATTATTGTATTTTGTCCCAATGTGTTACTTTTGTATGTTACTTTTTTATTGGAATTTGATATAAGATTACCTAAATATTTGGCCAAGTTGAGGTAGTTCTCTGAGGGAAATGGGTCTAAAGTATATCACCATTGTGCATAAATATTTAAGTCAACAATAAAGTACATAATGGACTCAAAAGCTGTGGAATTCCTAGCTCCAGCTGACATATATAGGGGGAAAAAATCAGTGAGGTTTAATGCAATAAAGAAACCAAAAGGGGCGGGAAACAGCAGTGACCACCTGAATTGATTTTGATATATATGTTTGATGATTTTATATACTTTGAAATTTTAAAACTGATTTTGCTGAATAACATTTCAGGTCTACATTTAAAGTAAAAGACAAGGGCTGAAAACAGTACACATTTGTGTGATGAAATAAATCAATACATTTTCATGACACGGGTGAAAGCTAAATTTACAAGTAGATGTTCAATATGGAAAACATTATGCTAATTGCGGCTTGGAGTTGGTTACAGCGAGTGCTAGAGAGCTCAAAGACCCTCCCACATCACTTACAGTGCCTATGAAAAGTATTCACCCCTTAGGATGTTTTACCCTATTATTGCTGTAATTCATGAAATTAATTACAATTTGGCTTTATTGACAAAGAACTGACAAAAAAAAATGTCAAATTGAAAACACACAGACTTCAACAAAGTAATGTCAATTAATGAAAATTATATAATGGAAAAATTAATGATTGCATGAATATTCACACCCTTCAAGTATATAGTAGATGCACCTTTGGCCACAATCACAGCACTGAGTCTGTGTGGATAGGTCTCAGTCAAGCTTGCACATCTGGACACACTTGTTCAAGCTCTATCAAGTTGCACTGGGATTGGGCATGAACAGCCACAAATTCTCTATTGGATTGAGTTCTGGGCTTTGACCTGGCCACTCCAGAACATTCATCTTCTTGTCTTTAACCATTTCTGTGCAGGTTTCACAGTATGCTTCGCATAAAATACACACACACCTTGCCTGGCTTGCAGCTACGTGTATTTGTAACATCAGTAAGGGACAGACAGGATTTTTCCTGAAGGAAACTTAACTTACCTTATTGGACCACTTGTATGCCTGTAGTAGCTGGCTATAGAGAGGGGTCTTATCCTGAACTGGATCTAAACTCAGCAGACCACTGTTGTGAAGGGGATGGCTTTCTGAAGGTCTACCAACCAGGTTGCTAAGACGTTCCAACTCACTACAAAGAACAGACCACATTTATACTTATATTTAAGTTTAAATAAAAGTGCATCATGGTACATTTAACTGCTTCAAAACGTCCAATACAAAAATGTTCAGTGATAACTGAAGTCAATATCTGTGCAATTAAGGGCAGCAAGCATTGTCAGTTTAACAGAGCACCAAAGTCAAAGTGCCAAAGTTAGTTACAGGTTTACAGAGCTGTAGAGTCTTTAGTCCTTATTGAATCTCAAAAAGATAAATGCCAGACGAACTGCAACAGCACATTCTCTTATGCATACTATGGGAGGTGCTGCAGGAATGTGGATTACTGGAGCTGCTAATGCACACTATTCCACACTGTCCTTCTGGCAAATTCAAGCTAAACAAACAAGGTAAACAAAAAAAACTTTCTCCAAAATATTCCCAAATAATTTTTCCTAAAAAATTCTCAAATTCATGAGAATGACACACATTTTAATATTTGTGTAATGGTTTAACTTAAGTTTGTGATATACACATTATTCATATACTACTACTTGCAAGCAAGTACAAGCTGAATTTCAATGCTTTTGAAGAGGCTTGATGAACAGATGACTAGTGTATTATAAAAAGGGATAAACACACAGACACCTTGGCGATTAAAAGCGTATACCACAAGTACTTACAATCACATGTTCTCAAATGGCAGATCGAAGTAAACCAGGTAATATCAGCTTCCCTTTAAGAGGTTTACTTAATGTTTTGATTTTAGGTTTTCATTTTGGGATTCTGTGCAACTAGGAAGGAATATTATAGGCTTCTATTAAAATTTAGGCTCAAACTTTAATGATTTATCCAAAGTCGACAGAGATGAATTTATACTAATGCTACGCTTCATCAACTAAACAACTTCATCAGCACTGCTTCGTATCCAATTAAAGCTGTAGCAGGCTATAACATCCGTAGCCTTGAGCTTGTTAACCAAACATAAAGACGGCTCTCCTGTAAGAAATACCTATACATTCTAGCAAAAATATATGGTACAGTTCGGGTTACACTTTATATTCTGATAACTCAATTCACATTCACAGTGCTAACGTTAACGCTACGCCTTTACTTACTTAAGGTCTCGGTTCACCGACTGCAGATTATCTTGAAATTCAGTGGTAAAAACTTTTTCTCGCCCTTCAAGAGTCTCTTTATTTTTCATCCCATCTTTCAAAGAATCAAACACTCGAGTTACACTAGAACGAAGGGCCTGAATTGCACTTATTGCTTGAGAAAAAGCCTCTAAATTCACACCAACGTTCATCACCTCCGCCATTTTCCATACGTCGCTACTCATCGGCGAGGTCAAAGGTTTACAAAGAATTGTGGGATATGTAGTTTGTAAACGCTGTTCCTGTTTGTTTCACAAGTAACAGCCTTATTTTTGTCACAGGCCATCATTACACCCCAACCACTCTGGATATCACGTTAATCTACATCCAGCCCTATAAGGAGGTCCTCCAATTTACAGGGAAAGGCTTGGGGGTTGGTGGCAGGATTGGCACTCCAGCCACTGGAAAAAAGTCAAACTGGTCTATTCAAACTAGTGTGGTGCTGAGGTATCACCCGGTCAAGCTTTTGCATGAACGTTGAAGCTTTGAACGAAGTTAGAGCATAAAATACGTAAATGGTAATATTTATGAAAAACAAATACCAAAATGTTTTAAACTTTGCAAAAAAATTCTGATTGGAAAAGATTTAAGAGAATGCTCCAGTAGAATAAGAAAATAATTAAATGTGATGTAATGTAAAAGTCAGAATATAGTTCTTCATAGATTGAGCAGTTTTGAATATTGTGATAACTGTAATATGTATAAGTAAGACGTATAAGCATTTTTATCCATATTTTAGCTTAATTTATTCTGTCACCAACGCAGGAATTATACTTACTCATAGGAGGCCAAATATTCAACGCATTCAATACAAAACCTGCAAACAGTTGCTCCAGGGACTCGCTGACCTTCCTTCCTGTTACTATGAGCAAAAGCATGTGCTAAGTATATATAATAACTTCTCACCATTTACACTAGATTTATCTTCGATGGTTTTATTGTGAATTAAATGGTTATAGATATATCTATACTTTTAGTAGGCTGTTTTAAATAAAGCAGGCAAAAATTATAAGCCAGGTAGAAAAATATAAGTTAACACAAAATATATGGGGAAACGTCATTCATTTGATAAATTGATTTTTTTTATGAACTTTAGGTTATGGTTACGGGGTGCTGATTATAGCTAGGTAACTTAATTCTTCTTATAAATTCTTCTTCTTATTATTATTATTATTATTATTATTATTCATCCATTTTTTGGGTGGAGCCTATCACGATAGGGAATAACCCGTGAAGGGGCGGCAACCCATTGCGCAGCACGTTGTTATTTTTATTATAGAAGGGTATGTGTCTAGTATTGGGCTGAGTTTTGCTGAATGATCGCGCTGCGTTCTGCGCAATCGCCGAACACGATTTCGTGACGTGAGCCGTCGCTCTCCGGAAGACAACAAACACGAAATTGCGAGTGACTGCTTTATGTTTATGTATCGAATAATGAAGACTGAAGTCAACAACAAGCGCACTTACTTTCGGTATGACAACTGATAGCTATTTATAATATGCGTTTGTCAACGCGCGTTTATAATACGGCTCCTTAGCTGTATATTTAGCCGCAGAACTATGTTATGAATAATCACGCCTGGTAGCTTGGTAGCTAACTGCATTACGATAATGGCACGCCAGTTGTCAAATTAGTTGTCACGAAAATCCTCTTGTTTAATTATTTTAAGTAATTTTCATCGCCAAACATGCATTTATTGTTATTGTAAGGCCGATACTGTTTTAACCAAGCTTGTATTAATATTTATTATCTTAAAACTGAAATCTGCCAACTTTATTTTTTCTTTGGCAGAAAAACATATGTGCTTATACTGTAGGTATTTAGTCGGATATGTTTCGTTATTATGTTGTGGTACTTATTAAACACAACGATTTCACGTAATAGCTTTTACTTTAATGGACATGTAAACGCTGACCTTACGCTACATACTGACAGTAAACTGTACGTCCTGTGTCAGACGAATGCCTGACATTTGCATAATTTGTGCCACTACAGTTACGTGACATTTTATTACATGACATGTTTGCTGTTTACTGTAGTCAAGCCATTCTCGCTTGAGTATTTATGAATCTGAAATTAACACGTACAGGGGAATACAGCATTTATTATCGCCATAACTGTGTATAAATTGCATGACAATGGGGGCATTCCACAAAGCAGGAATTTTTCATTAGTCAGATAACTTAAGCCAAATGTAAGGATTGTCCAATAGGAATGTCACTTTCCTCTCCTCCTATTGGACAGTTTTCATGTTTGGCTAAGTTATCCAGCTAACTGGGAAATCTTGCTTTGTGGAATACCCCCAATGTGTTAGTTTCTGTTGTATAGTGAAGCATGTGCGTCTCATAATTCAGTGCGTTAGTTTCTGTTGTATAGTGAAGCATGTAAGTCTCATAATTGCTTAGGATGTACAGTTTAAAGTATAATGTAACTTAATTTTGAAAAAGTAATTTTATAATCATTCAGTTGCACGTTCTCGGTAAAATTGCCCTGTTCCCATGTATGAAAAAGGCTGGATGACTGCAGGGCAAAGCTGATGTAATGTTTGATATCAATTTCTTCTTGAAGATCTGTCTGATGTCTTCCAATATGAAGCGTGATGCTTTTCATATGCAGTTATATGTAATCTAATAGTTTTTATGCTGTTTTGTTCATAACAGATAAGTGTGAATAGTGGTGAGTGTGAAATGGTGAAACTATCCAATAGCAAAGCAATTGTTTGAAATGTTGAAGTGGGAGCTGTGCTTAGAATAACAGCGATGGCTGAAGCTGTGAGACCAAAAAAAAAGAAGACTAAGCAAACTGGGAAGTCTCAGGTAAAAACCAAACTAATGCTTGTGTGCTGTTTGTTTCTTTGTGTGCAAATTATTATCTTTTTTTTCATTAAGGAAACTGTTTAGTGTTTGGACAAAAAGACCAAAAACCTTTTTTGTACATATTGATTCTAATAATTGTACACATTTTAATTTTATGTTAAGGGTAAAAAGCAGGAACGATCTGAAGGTATAAACCAAGCAGGGAGGCATGGTCCTATACATTGTGAAAAGGATAAGCCTCTTCTGTCTTTACACGAAGATGTTGAGTCGTTGGATCCTACATTTAGACAGATGACCACCTCTCAGCCCAGTACCCTGAACCTCTCTACTGAACATCCAGCCGCAGAGCAGAAGCATCCAGAATGTACTGCACATACACAAAAGGAGCAAGACCAATTTACAAGTGTAGAAAATGTGGAAAATGAGATAACATGGGATTGTATCAACAAAATGGATGCAAAGCAGACTAAGGACAGCACAGGAGACTTCCAGTTTGACAATGATTTGCTCAAGATTCATCACAACTTGACTGAACTGACTTGTGACAAAAAAGCTTTGGATTATAGATTAAGCCCACTGGCAAACAGTATTCCAATCTTGTATCCTCAAAGTAATGCCACTCTCACTGCACAGATAATAGAACCCCAGTTGTTTTCAGTGAAGGATCAGAATCCCATTGGTTCTGAATTGAATGAAACATCAAACGTTCAGGACAAGATGTCTAAAGTATTGTGTAGCCTTGAGGAAAAAGCCCCAGCTGTGCTTTCCTTGGCAGATGAAGAATCATCAGTTTCCAGTCTAGTGCCAGTACATTCTATAAAGATGGAACTGGGAAAGGTTCAGAAGATATACCCAGAACTATCAGAGCTGTACTCAGATCCACAAGAATTAAGAGGAGAGCAGTTGAAAATGTGGGATCCTGCATCTTTGCTTAAGAACGTTGAGGTCCATGCAGCTGAATTTGATGTCATAGCCCACCAAGAGGGGCACGAGTTGCATGAGTTGCTTCAGCAGTATTGGCGGTCTTGTCACCAGCTGAGCCAGTCCCAAGCTAAGCTCCAGGCTGCCAACTCGGAGTGCAAGAGCACTCAGAATCGGCTATGGAGTTTCAGAGATGAACAGCTCACGCTACAGGTGAGAACTAGGATCTCAGCATCTCATTATATTACTTGCCTTTGAAAAGAGTGGAAATGCTTTTTGTAATTAACTAGTATGTTAGTATTAGGAAAACAAAAATATATACATTTTCTGAAATTCAGTCACCATATACTGTATTGTCACATGACTGCATTGTAGTGCTATCAGTATGTGACAATTGTTTTATAACAAATGTTAATTTAGACACGTTGTTGATAATGTTGACCTTGTATCTTGCTTTTGATAAACTGATTGGAATAAATTCTGATTTAAATAAGTAAATAATATTTTTTTAATTTTTTCTTCAGTCCAAATCCTAAGTTTCCATCTCTGTGTCTGACAGGGTGTCTGTGCAGACCAGACCAAGGTTTGTGGATACCACAGATTCCAGCAGGCTGTGCTGAATGAAACCGTGTTGGCAGAATTGCAACATCAGTTTAAAACCAAGATAGACCTGGTGCACCAAACAGTTGCAATGCATATCTACACAACCATGCTATCACACCTTCAGGTGGACTCTTACCTTTACTATATGCTCAGAAAAAATCCAGTAACCATGAGCGTAGTTGTCGACGAATCTGTTACTGGTGAGTGCGCACCTTGTGTCTTTTTTTTTCTTTAACAGGTTTAGCTATGTGGTCCATGCACTTGTTCTGTATATCAATTGCACTGGAGCAATTTGCCATAATATTTTAATGTGACATAAAGTTATACTCTACTGTTCGCTTTATATCCAATGCTGAGCATGACTGACATTTTGACAGATTGCCCAGACTTGATGGCCCAGCCTTCTAGTTTACAGCCGCTTAAGACATGCATCAGCATACTCTTCAGCTTCACTCGCAGAATCCTTGAGGACAAACAGTTCCAGGATGACGTCCACATGTGGCTCCGGAAATTGGTACCTAACCGGACCCTGTTTTATGTTATGGATATTGTGCAAGTTATGGTTGCCTATGATTGCTTGATCTCACAAATACTCTTTGCAGTCAAGTGAGTCTGACTTTGGTATGTCGTTATATATTTTTTATCTAAAATTCTGCCGTTGGAAAATTAGGAGAATAAGCTAGTTGAATGTAGAGCAGAAGTCTTCATGCTGGTGAAAAGTTAGTGACACCATAGAAGACCTTCTAGAACAGACACTTTTCTCCCACATTGATTACATCTGAATACAAAGAGCCTCTGTTATTTTGGGAAGAAATACATAAAGTAAGTTTGTGGTTAGTGGACAGCAGTACTAAAATCCAGCGTAATTT